CCCCCCCGGCCGCCGGGAGCCCCCCGCACCGGGCACGGACGCCTCGCGGGCGCCCGTCGTTCCAGACTGAGTCGCACATAACTTGGGAGGCAAAAAGGGAGCTGCCCCCATGGGACACTTCTGGAGGTGCAGAGCCTAGATTCCAGCCTGGAGCCCAGGAAGCTGGGCTGGGAGGAGTGGGGGGAGCAGCGGGCAGGGAGCTGCTCTGGCTGCTGCCAGAGCTGGGCCGTCACCTCCGCCGGGTGCCCTGTGCCATGAACAACCTCGTGGGCCCCTGGGGGGCACCAGCCCCTCGCAGCTGCCAGCGGGAAGGCCGCCAGGAAAGCGGACTCCGGGCACTTGGGCTGCGAAGAAGCCACGCACTGTCCGGCTTAGGAGGCGGCTCGCCCGGGCCTGGGTGTGCCCGCCATGGGGTGCGCGGGTGGCACGGGTGAGCGGGGCTCCCCTCGGCGCACGGCCTCCATGCTCGGCAGCCTTTGCCGCGCCCACGGCCGCGACTTTTCTTCCGCCCAAGAGGAACCTTCAGCCACTGCCCACCGGGAGCCCCCCAGCACCCGCCTGCTCCTAGGTCGGGCACCTGGGACCCTGCCGGGCTGGCCGGTGTGCGCCGGCCTCGTCACTCCTGCGATGTTCCCCAAGGCTCCTCCACGCTGCACCGGCTGCCGCACCGGCTGCCGAAGCTTCACTCCTTCGAAGCGGCCTGGTAATGGCCCCCTGCGCCGCCTGCAGTCCGCCGGCGGCCGAGCTTTCCACCGCTAGCGCGCCCGGAGCCTGTCACAAGCCGCACGCGTCGGTGCTGGGCCGCCTGGCGCAGGGTTCACCCACAGCGCTGTCCACTCAGGCAGGTGCGCCCGCCTCCGGCGTCCGCCCGGCCAGGGAGGGACCCCAGGGCGCAGCAGACCCCCCCTGTCCCCCGCTGCCCCTCAGCAGGGGGTTTTGTGGACCCGCCTGTCCTGCGCCCCCGCTCTGTCTCTGGGGAGTCGGCTCACCCCCGCCCCTCTGGCCTGCACCCCAGCCCTTGTGTGCATAATAAATAAATCTAAAAATAACAACCGTCTGCGCGGCCCCTTTCCAGTTGCTCTGGGGCTCTCCCTCTTGGAGTGACAGGGAACCCCAGAGCCAGGGCTCCGAGCCAAGCTGCCGGCAGGCCACGGCGCGCTTTCTCCTCCTGCCGGCCAGGAGGCCCCAGCACGTGGCGCAGCTGGGGTGCGGCTTTCACAAGCTGCAGGAGTCTGCCCTGGCCGCCAGCACCGCCCAGAGACGGCGCGGTGGTCTCTGGCCGTGGCGGGGGGCACGCGGGGGGC